AATTGATGGATTAGTTGAATTAATTTTTCTGTGAGTTTTTGGGATTCTCTATGTATATTATCATATCATCTGCAAATAGTGATAGTTTGACTTCTTCCTTGCCTATCTGGATTCCTTGTATGTCTTTCTCTTGTCTTATTGCTCTGGCTAGGACTTCCAGTATTATATTGAAAAGCAGTGGTGAGAGTGGACATCCTTGTCTTGTTCCAGATCTTAATGGAAATGCTTTCAGCTTTTCACCATTGAGAATGATACTGGCTGTGGGCTTGTCTATATGGCCTTTATAATGTTGAGGTATGTTCCTTGTATCCCAAGAATTTCAAGGGCTTTTATCTTGAGTGGGTGTTCTACTTTGTCAAAAGCTCTCTCGGCATCTATTGATATGATCATATGGTTTTTATATTTCTTTTTGTTGATGTGTTGGATAACGTTGATTGATTTTTGGATGTTGAACCATCCTTGTGTCCCTGGAATAAATCCTACTTGGTCCTAGTGAATTATCTTATGGATACACTGTTGGATTCTGATAGCTAAAATTTTATTGAGGATTTTTGCATCAGTGTTCGTTAGAGAGGTTGGCCTGTAGTTTTCTTTTTTTTGTGTTGTCCTTGTTCGGTTTTGGTATGTAATGTTGGCTTCATAGAATGTGTTTGGTATTATCCCTTCCTTCTCAATTTTTTGGAAGAGTTTGTGAAGGATAGGCACTAATTCGTTTCTGAATGTTTGGTAGAATTCATTTGTAAATCCATCAGGTCCTGGGCCTTTGTTTTTGGGGAGGGTTTTGATTACCATTTCAATTTCGCTGCTTGTAATTGGTCTGTTTAGGTGTTCTATTTCTTCTTTATCTAGCTTTGGGTGATTGTAGAGTTGTAGGAATTTTTCCATCTCTTCTAGATTGTTGAATTTGTTTCCATATAACTGTTCATAGTAGTTTCTGATTATTCTTTTGATTTCTGCTGTGTCTGTTGTGATTTCTCCTCTTTCATTTATGATCCTGCTTATTTGTGCTTTCTCCCATTTTTCCTTTGTGAGCCTGGCTAGGGGTTTGTTTATTTTATTTATTTTTTTGAAGAACCAACTTTTGGTTTCGTTGATCTTTTGGATTTTTTTTTAGCTTCAATTTCATTTATTTCTGCTTTGGTTTTTATTATTTCTTTTCTTCTACTGGTTTTGGGTTTTTTTTTTTTTGTTGTTGTTGTTCTTTTTCTAGTTCTTTGAGCTTTGAGATTAGGTTGTTTCATTGAGTTCTTTCTTATTTCTTGATGTGAGCCTCCATTGCTATATATTTTCCTCTTATTACTGCTTTTGCTGCATCCCATAGGAATTGGTATCCTCCTTGTCATTCAACTCAAAGTATTTTTTAATTTCTTCTTTGATCTCCTCATTAGTCCAGTGGTCTTCCAGTAGTGTGTGTTTCAATCTCCATGAGGTAGGAGGTAGGCAATCTCCTTGCCTTCTTTTTATGGTTTATTTCTAGTTTTATACCTTCGTGGTCAGAGAAGATGGTTGGTATGATTTCAATCTTGGTGTATCTGTTGATGTTTGTCTTGTATCCCAGTATGTGATCGATCCTGGAGAATGATTCATGTGCACTTGAGAAAAATGTGTACTCAGATTTTTTTGGTTTAGTGTTCTATAGATGTCTGTTAATTCCAAGCTCTCTAGATCCTTATTTAGAGCTTTAGTGTCTTTACTTATTTTTTATCTCATTAATCTATCCCTTGTTGATAGTGGTCTGTTGAAGTCTCCTACTGCGTATGTGTTTTCTCTGATGTCTGTGTTCAGAGATGATAATAGTTGTCTGATATATTTTGGTGCTCCTTCATTTGGTGAGTATATGTTAATGATTGTTATTTCTTCTTGAAGTATTGTCTCCTTGATCATAATGTAGTGGCCCTCTGGGTCTCTTTTTACCTTTTTGAGTTTGAAATCTGTTTTATATGATATAAGCATAACTGTTCCTGTTTTCTTTTTTGGTCCATTTGCTTGTAGGATTGTTTTCCATCCTTTAACTTTGAGTCTATTTTTATCTTTTGTAGTTAAATGTGTTTCCTGGAGACAGCAAAAGATTGGGTTTTGTTTCTTAATTCAACCTGCGACTCTGTGTCTTTTTATTGAAGAGTTTAGTCCATTTACATTTAGAGTTAATATTGATATGTCAACATCTGTATTTGCCATTGTGCTTGTCTTTACTCTGATTTTATTTATTTATTCTTTTAATAACTTTTTTTTATTGGCCTTCTTCCCTTGTTGTTCAACGTTGTTATTTGTTGGCCTTCTTCCTCTGTTGGTTCTGACTTTAGGACTTCTTGTAGTATTTTTTGGAGTGGGGGTTTATTCATAATGAAATTCCAGAGTTTCTGTTTGTCTGGGAAGGTCCTTATTCTTTTTTCATAGAGGAAGGAGAGCTTTGCGGGATAGAGTATTCTTGGTTGGCATTTGTTGTCTTGGAGTCTGTTGACTATGTCCCTCCACTCTCTCCTTGCCTGTAGTGTTTCTTCGGAGAAGTCTGATGTCAGTCTGATTGGTTTTCCTTCGTATATTATCTGTTTCTTCCCTCTTGTCAGCTTCATTATTTTTTCCTTGTCTTGGATTCATGGGAGCTTTACTATTATGTGTCTTGCTATATTTTCCTTTTCATCATGGAAGTTTGGGTGTTCTTCTTGCTTCTTGTATGTCTATTTTCAGCTCCTTCTTCACATTTGGGAAGTTCTCTTCAATTATTTCTTTGAATATTTTCTCTGTTCCTAGGTTTCTCTCCTCTCCTTCTGGGATTCCTATAACTCTTATATTTCCTTTCCTCATGGAGTCAGATAGTTCCCAAAGTCTTCCTTCAGTCTTTTTCATTTATACTTCTCTTTCCTTTTCTGTTTAGGTTCTTTTTATTTCTGTGTCTTCGAGAGTGCTTATTTGTTCTTCCATTTCCTCTATTCTGTTATCACTGCTTTTCCCAGCATTTTTTAGCTCTTCTGTTAATCCTTTGATCTCCTGCATTTCCTTCATTTCCCTCTTTAGGGACTCAATTGCATTCTTCTGAACGTTGTTTTCCTAAATGACTTGTGTCACTTTTTTATCACGGCAATTTTTAAATTCTCTTTCTGGAAGGCTCAGAAGTCTTTCCAAGTCACTGTCGTTACAAGCTGTGGCTGGCTTTCTTTTTGTGGTGTGTCTGTTTCCTGAGGAGTTGCTAGGTTGCATGTAGTTTTTCTCCTCCCTGCTGCCTGTTTTCTAATTTACCCTATGCTTTGGGACACTGTGTCGCTGGTACTGGCCAGCATCTTTTTGGTGTGCTCCTTCTGGGGTTTTGGAAACTGGTGATGAAAACGAGTCAAATACTGTTATGCCAGAAGTCTAGTGAGGCAGTGGTACTTTGAATATGTTAATGGTCACTGTCACAGAATATCTCCTCCTTCTGTGTTTAATTCCAAAGGTGTGTCTTGAAGTTCCACAGACTTCCCTGGAGGTGGGGCAGCTGGATTGCACTCTGGGTTCCAAGTTTCTGGATCACCCTCTGGGTTCTGACTTCCTGCCATGTGGGATGAGGCTTGTGGGGGTCTTCACCTCACCTCTGACTGCACAAGGAACCTTCTCCCTGTTTCAAGCAGTCTTTATTGAAGTAAGGTCCCTGTTCTAAAATGGCGATTCCAACACGAACATTCCTGCATGTGCAGTCTGCCCTGGCCTTGGATGCCCGCTCCCTCTCTGGGCTCAGATTGCCAGCCAGAAGAGGCCTGGCATGGGGGAACTTCCCAGCTCACCTCTGGCTCTGTGGGGAGCCTTCTGCCAGTTTCATGGTCCCTGTTCTAAGATGGCAAGTCGAGACGCACTCTGCTGTGCGCCCGGTCTGCCTGGCCATGGGTGCCTGCTCCTCCAACACCCAAATTTTAAAGTGAAAATGACCTACACCCTGACACCCCACTGGTAAATTATAAGGAAAATGAAAATGAGAAGCATTTATAGAGGCCTGAATGAAAGAGAATTTGCAAAGGCTTCCAAATTAGGCTTTCCTCAGATTTTTCTCTAGTCACACTCCAAGAAAGGAGAGGAATGAAATGTTTAAAATCCTAAATACAGGGCCTCCCCAGTGGCACATTGGTTGAGTGCTGGGTTGTGAAGCTGCCCATAGCCTCTGAAGTACCAGTTCAATCCCTGGCTGAAGGAGGAGGGTCCCACATTGCGCGCAGACCTCTCCTGCCACCTGCTGCTGCTCCCCTCAGCAGTGTGCTTCTGTCCTTCTGCCTGTTCTGCTCCCTGCTCTGACTCTAGTGAATTCTCTCACCCTCCCGTGCTTCTGACTGTACCCAGTGCTTGTATAAATAAATATAAATGAATTTTAAAAAAATCCTAAATACAAAGACTTCCAACCAAGAATACTCTGCCCTGCAAAATTATTCAAATATGAAAGTGAATAAAAGCTTCCCCAGGCAGAGAAGCCAATGGAGTTAATCACGATCAGGTCTCCCTGCCTCACCATAAATCCTGAAATAGGTGCTTCTACAGGAAAACCTGAAACAAAGCCCTGAGCAAAATGACATGAACAGGAATATTATGGGTCAACAACAAATCAACAACGGAAGGAAGGAAAGGACAGAAGTATGGACAGTGAATATTAGCCCTGGACACTCCTGGGGACTGTGATATGACAAGATTTTTCTACAGATGATTCGTAAGTTGCTTGTTTTTACCTGATATGGTGATACATCTTTCTCCTCCATTTCTATTATTTTGTAAGTACCCAAATTCCTGTATTAAACATTTCACTAAAGATAAACTCACAGACAGTATGCTTTTCTTAATCCTGAACCCAGTGCACAGAACAGTTAAAAATAATTAAGGAAATACAGAAAAGATATTTATAATGTATAAAAAAGTGGTATCAAACTTTGTTCCTAAGCCAAACCACAGATTATCTCTGACTAACTCAGGACAGGATCATGACTCAGTCCACGGACTGTGAGCCCTGCTGCTCCCGACCAGACAATCTGAGGAAGCGGCCCCCGTCACGTTGGGGTTGCTCTGCAGCTGAAGAGCCTCCCCAGGGCCTGCTTTATGTCCCTGTTTGTGAGACTGTAGATGAAGGGGTTCAGCATGGGGGTGACCACCGTGTACATCACCGAGGCGATTGCACTGTCCCCGGAGTCGTGGGTAGCATCAGAGCTGAGGTACACGCCAAGCACCATCCCGTAGAACAGGGAGACCACACAGAGGTGAGACCCACAGGTGGAGAAGGCTTTGTACCTGCCGCTCGCTGAGGAGATTTTCAAAACAGAGGACACAATCTTAGAGTAGGAGAAAAGGATGCCACTGAGAGGAATCATCCCCACAACCCCCGCTGCTAAATATATCAGCAGCTCATTGAGGAAGGTGTCAGAACAGGCAAGCTGGACCACCTGGTCCAGGTCACAGAAGAAGTGAGGGATTTGCAGCTGTGAGCAAAAGGACAGTCGCAAAACCATTAAGCTGTGTAACAGAGAATCCAGAAGACTTAACACCCAGGATGCAAGAAGCAGGAAGCCATCATGAACATCATGGGGGTTCATGATGACAATGTAGTGCAGGGGATGGCAGATGGCCACAAACCGGTCATAGGCCATGGCTGTCAAGAGGAAGGTGTCCACTCCTGCAAAAATTATGGACAAAAACACCTGGCTGAGACAGCCTGCATAGGTTATGGCTTTGTTCTGTGTCTGGATGTTCAGCAGCATCTTGGGGACGGTGGTGGAGGTGAAGCCGATGTCGGCAAAGGACAGGTTGGCGAGGAAGAAGTGCATGGGGGTGTGCAGGTGGGGTTCGTGACGATGGCCAGGATGATGAGGAGATTCCCAGTGAACGTGACCAAGTACATGGACAAGAATGCCCAGAAGAGGAGGGGCTGCAGCGAGGCCTCTTCTGAGAGCCCCAGGAGGGTGAACGCTGTGGCGTCGGTTTGGGTTCCTGGCGCCAGGTCGCTGGTGAGCCTGGGGGATGGAGACAGAAGTGATGTCAACTTAACCACAGCAGAACAATCAAGAATGGGGTTTAAATGTTGATTTTATTTAAAATATATTCTCTGAGTAAATTTCATGTTATAGAGCTAGTGCCTGTTCCCTGAAATCTTCAAGGCTGTTAAGGACCCACCTTCTCTTGATGCTGAAAATATTAAGCCATTCTTGCATCTAATGCACACGTATTTCCAAGTCAGCATTTTCTTTGAAAATTTCCTGAGATTTTCTTTTAAATACGTTGACCATTTATATTATCCATATATTGTTGGACTCATGGAGAGAAATCAGTGTGAATGACTGAACGGTCCTACCCTAGGGCCTCCCAGGTAGCCCTGGTGTTAATTCTCTGGGCTCCCACCAAAACAGCCTGAGTCTGATCCTCAGCCGGGAGCTACCGACATAGCGCAGCAGACCTCTCCTGTCTCCACTCTGCTCCCCTCTGCAGTGTATTTCAATAGATCTGACTGTTACTGCTCCCCACTCTGACTCTGGTTAGTCCTCTATCCACCACCCTAGTTATTTTATCCATAAAGAATAAATATTTTTTTTAAAAAAAAAGTTTAATCCTAGCCCCAAAGTAGTTTTCCGCTAAGTATGTGTGTGATCTCATAAATAATATTTCTTATGGTGATTATACATATTGGGACACAATAAGACTGACTGAGGCCCACACAAAATTGAAAACTTTCAAACATTTTGCCCAACTAGCTGTATACGTATATGGAAGAATTAAGTGCAAAACATTTATTTTCAAAAACTCCAATTCTGTGTGAATATTTGAATCAAAGGCAGAATGAAAACTCAAGCCACAGTAAGTAAATAAACTGTCAAAATGATCACAGTCAGCTTATAATTGAAAATTTTAAAAATGTTAACAAGAAAACTATGTGGATTTGCCAGTCATGGAATGGTTGTAAAGTGAAACTCTTTAGATCCCTCAACTGATATCAAATACAAAGTTTTACTTACGTGAGCACCTAATATGAGGGAAGGACTTACACACTGTTCGTCTCACCAAGTGCTGTGGAAGGTCATCTGTCCCCGTTTGTCTGGATCTAACACAGATCACCTGCTTGTACACCCCATCACTTCTCTTCCTCCCCTCTGCGTTTAATACATGCTTCCTGCTGCCTCAACTCCAGACCTTCTTGGCTGGGTCCTAACTTTGCTGGAACCATTTACACCTCCTGCAACCCCCTTCAGTGTTAACCAAATAGATTTTCCTTCTGTCTCTTCACTGTCAGCACCATCTCTGTATTGTTGAGAGCAGTGCACAGTTTTGAGTCACAAATTAAGTAAATTAATTATAAAGTGATGAGTCAATTGAGCAAGAGAACAAGGGAACCTCTTGTCCCTGGGCCTGGTTTGATCTCTGTGACCTGAGGCAGAACTTCTCAGTTTGCATTTTCCCTGGATCTGTCCCAAGTGCCTGCTGGGCTCTGAGACTCACCAGGGTGGGGGCTGTGAGGGGGGCTTCTCCATGGAGCGTCTGAGTCCCTCCTGGACGCTTGAGGATGGATCTGGGCTGTGTCACAGACAGGATCTCAGGAGGGCGCCAAGGGCTGGTCCCTGGGCAGAGGTCGGGCTCCACAGACAGGAATCATGTCCTCTCCGGTCCCGGGTTGGACAGTCTGAGGGACCGAGGGAGACAGGATATTTACCGCCCTCCACACGGTCTCATTAGCCACACCTCACTCTCCTGCTACAAGCTCTGAGTTCATGAGATCCCTGTGGACACTGGACTGGATGGAAGGAAACTTTCTTAATGATTCTTTGATCCCGAGAGCCTAGATTAGATGTCAAGTGCATCCAGTTTTAGTTACTCCTTTCTCATCAACTCCTGCACCTTCTAGAGCTGTACCCACCCAGCACCCTATTCTAACGTGGTGTTCAAGTTTTCAAAATGTCTGTGCCTGAGGAACCGACTTGAGATAATATCTGCAATCATCAAAGCACAAATGTGTTGGGGGCACAGACACCCCATATGCGCAATATTGTTATTCCTCTCTCATAAAGCAGAGAACCGAGTCCCTCTATATAAAACCTTAGCCACCACACTCCTTATTGTCATGGCACTTTTGCAAAAGCAAATAGGAATTTCTTTTTGTTTACTTTGTAATGTGACTGCAGCAGCCTTATGTTTGAAACTCCAGAAGGAAACGACTGTGTTCCTAACCAGCTAATATGTGGGTCCAAAGAGTAAAGATTTTTGTAGCGGCCACAGTCCCTCTGAAGCCTGTGCACCTCCTCAGTCCCCCAAAAATTAGGCAGGTGTCCTGCTTAGCAGCCCAGGGAAGTGCTAACACACCTCCTGTTGCCAGCACGGGACAGCTGCCCACAAAAGTCCACTCCTGACATTCGGTGTCACCGTCCTCACAGGTCAACATGTCATTGAGCAGCAGTTGTCTGAGCAACCTCTGAATCGTGCCAGACTTCACTGCCAAAGCAGGGTCCGTGACAGCCCCCGGGGAGGCAGGAGCAGGCGCCACAAGGAACTCCAAGTGAGGGTCTCCTGTTGCTCTTCTAGCAGCCAGAGTAAGGGCTTGTGGTGACCTCTGACGACTCACCTCAGTACTGAAAAGTCTTCTTATGGAAGACATTAGAGTTTCCTTAATTTTTCTGTCCTAATGTCCACTTTGTTGCCACACAACTCAATAGGGATGTTTTCACACCCGGTACCAGGTCTCTATGCCAGTTAGGCACGTTCTAGGAAATAACTTGTTACATGAGACAATCTAATGGCACACGGGGCTTGGCCTAAGAGCCTCTCTCATCCACCAGATGTCCCTCACCAGCTGGGCACCTCACTTGAGCTTGGCACGTCTCTGTGGGTGTGGAACAGGAGAGGATGGACATCAACACCCCAGGTTCTCTGTATATCTTTGTCAGAATTATGCTGTGCAAATATATCCTCCCTTTAAGTACGTTGTCTTATTGCTGTAGTGATGTTTTCTTGTACTGCACAGAAGCATTTTGGTTGATACAGTCCCAATTATTTATATTCTCCTTGGTTTCCCTTGATGCTGGAGATGATTCCACAAACACATCTGAAAGTTATATTGTACAGTGATTTGCCATTTTTTCTTCTATGTGTTATGGTTTGGCGTCCTACTTTGAAGACTTTTATTCATTTTGAATTGTTTTTGTGTGTGTTTTGAGATAGAGTCATGTAGTTTCATTCATTTGCGTGAGTGTCCCGTTTTCCAAATGCCATTTACTGAAGAGGGTCCTTGCTCCCAGGTATGTTCCTGGCTCCTATTTTGTAGAGTAACTGTTCCTGTAAGTTGGTTTGTTTCTGATCTTGATTGGGTCCCATTGGCCTCTGTGTCTGTTATTGTTCCCGTACAATTTTAATTATTCAGTACTATTTAATCACTATACCTTTATAGTATTGTTTGAAGTCTGGTATTGTAATAATTTTTCCTTTTTCTTTTTTTTTTTTGCCAGAGTTGCTTTGCTATCCGGGGTTTTTGGTGGTCCCATATGAATTTCAGTAATGTGTGTTTTGTTTTTAAAGTGTGCCATTGATAATTTCATGTGAGTGCGTTAACTCTGTGTACTGCTTGTGTAGGATGTTCACTGTGACCACATTGATTCTTCCAGTCCATTTGCAAGAAATAACGTTCCATTTTGTTTTGTATTTTGTCTATTTCTTTTAACAGAGTCTTACAGTTTTCTTTATACAGGCCCTTCATATCCTTTTTTAAGTTACTAACTAGGTATTTAACTTTTTAAAAAAGATTTATTTACACATACAAGAACTGGGGTACAGGCCAGAGGTGTGGGGGGTGAGAGGATTCACCAGAGACAGAGTGGGGGATAGAACAGGCAGACTGAATGAAATACACTGCTGAGGGGAGCATCAGGGGAGGCAGGCTGTGCCTTGTGGGTAGCTCCCTGGTGGGTTGCTTCATAGGTTGCCTTTTAACCCTTGCGCCGCCAGGGAGGCCCTAAGTATTGAACTTTTATTTATTTTGGTGTGATTGTAAAGGGCACAATTTCTTATTTTTTTCCCACTTCTAACTCATTGTTTATATATATAGGAAGGCAGCTGATTTTGTTTTTGTTTGTATCCTGCCACTTTGACTGGTTTATTTTCTCATTTAGATCCAACATCCATGTACGCCAAAAACCCTAAAAACTGGACATAAGTGGAACTCATCCTCAAAATAATCAAAATTCTTTCTAGGCATTTATATCTCAAAACATCCATCTGATTCCTGGTTTATTATTCCTGCACTATGAGAACCAAGAAATCAGCCTTAGGGGGATCTTTTCTAAAAATAATATCAGGCGACCTCCATGGTGGCACAGGTGGTTTAGCGCAGCGCTGTGAAGCTGTCCGCAGCCTCTGTAGTGCAGGTTCGCTCCTGGCCAGCAGACCTCTCCTGTCTCACCCACTGCTCCCCTCAGCAGTGTATCTCAGTCGATCTGCCTGTTCTGCTCTCCGCCCTGTGTCTGGGGAATCCACTCACCCTCCTGCACATCTGGTCTGTAACTCGGTTCTTGTATAAATAAATCTTTAAAAATAATAATAAATAAAAATAAAAATAATGTAAGAAAGCAATTGAAGCTTGTGGAATATTTTGTGTATTATGTATAAAGGGACCCATGCAGTATGGATGCCTAATTTTGTATGGCTCCTCTAATATTCAATAATTTTACATTTTATTTTATAATACAAAATATCTTCAATATTCATTTTAAAATATAAGTTAATTTTAATACAAAGCTGTTTATTAAAGGAGAGTCTCATTAAATTCTTGTCATTTCCTTTGAGTTTAGCTTTTATT